CCTCTCGTAAATATTTAGCTACATATACATATATTAGAGCGTACCACCTTACAAGCAAACCAAAAAAAATAAATTGGAGTCTGAAGTATTTTTGCAAAGCAATTTGGAAAAAAAATATATTTACCAAACTAGGAGTCGCCTTTTCACATTTTTCGGTGACACCTACCAAATAACCAAATTTCCAAAAAATAGTTCTACTGAAATATTAGGAATACGTCATCAGCCAAAGTCTAATCATTTTTCGTAAGCTTTAATTTGCTGGCTTTGGGGTGGTACGTTTTGGTGATAAGCACTGAGTTCTGATGAGTAAGTACTAGAATGCACTTCGAAACAAAAAATTGTCTTCTCGAGAACGGTATACCGGATATATCTGACTTTAAGATCGGACTGTAAATGTCGAAGATATGATGAAAAATGTGAAAAGGTGACCCCTACGTTCCGCTAAAAAAATTGGAATGGTGTCCTCGAGACGAAAACGTCGATATGTGGGATCCGAGTGTGAATGCCGAATGATACGCCAGATAGACAGATCGAAGAACTCGGAGATAAGTGATTTACCTTTTCGAAACATAATTTTTTCTTGGACTTCTCGAAGAGATTACAGTCACAGCCAAATTTGTTTAATGTGAGTCCAGAAGTTGATATGTTATCGAAGGGAAAGGTTATCCTTGATATATACATGTAAAAACACATATTTACTTGTTAGGTACATGTATTTACTTTTAGGTCAAATTTTTCCGCAAATTAGGTACTATTTGAAAACTAAATTTTCCCACCCTGATGGAATATCTCAGCTGCAAAAGAGGACCAAAAGCAAATAGCTGATTGCTATTTGCTCAATAAACAAAGTCAAAATTAAACATACCCAGCAGAGTGGCATGAAAAAATGCATTCAATTAGCACTCAATTAAGCACCAATCGAGCAATTAAGAAATTCAATTTTTTATGGTAAATCGTTCTCAATTGGCGCCTTAATCGAGAAAGCTTGGCTAATTGCTGTCTGAACATTCTGGCTACTATCTTGAAAGCTCTTTACTGACACCAAAGGCTAATTGAAATTGAATTATGCTTTTGGCCTTTATGCAATAAGTTTTTTTTCCATAATTTAAATTAAAAATATACTTATTTTTCCTAAAAAAAAATAAAAATAAAACTATATTAAACAAGGTGAAAAATAAAAATAAAAATAAAATGAAATTGAAGCAAAAAAAAATATTTTTTAAAACAATCTAAAAATTAAGAGAAAATCAAATTAAAAAGGAAAAAAATTTTATCAAATAAATTAAAATATATCTAAAAATTAAATGAACTTAAAAAATAAATACTTCTATTTTTAAAACAAGAACTAAAAAATAAAATAAAATAAACTCAAACGAAATAAAAAATATATTCTCTTTTTAAAACAATAAAATCTAAATGCAAAAATAAAATCAAATTCTAAAAAGAAGAAAAAAATATATTTAATTGAAAAACAGAAAAACAACATTTCTCAAAGTATTACGAATTAAACAATATATTTTTCTGATTAAAACAATAAAATAAAATAAAAAAGTTAAAAAAGATAAGTTTCGAACCTTATCTCTCGATATACAAGGACTTTCTCTCAAAATAGCTTTTCACCGCGAGTGGTTAATGAGAAAGCTTACAAAAGTCTCTCGAACTATCTTGCGTTCTGTCTTGCATGTGTCTTGCGAAAGACTTTTCACTATCTTAGTTATCTTTTACTTCCTATCTTACTATTTAAGTGCCGTTTTCTTAAGTACCTATGTGAAATCGCCTAGCAAAAATACTTTAGACTCAGGGGTGTACGGCGAGCTTTTTTTTCTG